ATCTGTCCCACACATCTGCTTGGTCTGACACTCACCAACGCAGGGTTAAAACAATTTGAATTTCAACGTCCTTAGGCAGAGTATACATCCTCCAATCTGGTACAGAATGAAATCATCTTGTTCTCTGCTTGTTTACATGGCCTACCTGGTATGGCCTGCAGGCATATATATATTTGAGGACCCCCTAGTCTAAGTAGTTGGTATATTATCTTCCTACATAGCTTCTAACTTGTGAGTTTTATTTTGCTTAGTTTTATTCTGCTTAGTCATTTATTATAAGCTTCCTCAAATCCTTTATGGAAGAGGAATATGAATGATAAAAAAATAAACAAATTGTTTTCTTCCCTAAGCAAAACTGCCAAGTTCAGTGCAGGCAGCTGCATCCCCACTGCATCCAAGGGCTGATCATTCCTGGTGAGTCACTCTGGCCCGCCCCACCTGCCCCACCTGTTAGAGGGTTACCACTGTCGTAGGCTCAACCCTATCATTCCTTTAAACAGGAGAAAGGATTTCTTCCTCATTAGCAACTGAGGGGCCTGGACATAATCAAGTGGCCTCTGCCCTATTTCTAGCATATAAGATGTAAAGCCAGCTCTAGGTGCCCTCTGAGACACTGGGCAGCAGGGGATATGCAGGGAGTGGGCCTAGAGCCAGACCAGCTAAATTGCAGCCCTCCTCCCCCCACTAGCCATCCATGTGACCTCGGGTCAGCTTATGAGTTTTTTTTTTTTAGCTTATCAGTCTTGATGCCTCAAATTCCTGCTTTATAAAGTGGGACAATGCTACCACCTACTTTACTGGTTTTGGGGTAAGGATCAAATTAATACAGGAAATATTAATAATAGTACTTTTCTGCATGCCAGGCATTGTGCTAACTGTGCTTTCATGCATAGAATATTTGCAGTAACTCAGTGGGGTCGGTTAATACGGAACTGAGGATCAGAGAAACTAAGCACCTTGCCCAGCCAGGCTGGTTCACATAGCTAGCAAGCCAAGGAGATGCCATCACCTTGAGTGTAGCAAGGTGACTTAGTGGGCTACTTTCTTTGGCCTCATTTGATTTCCTCTTATCCCGTCCACAACAGGTTCAGCTCATTTACCCTATTCCACCCCCAAGACTTGGCAGGCAGTTGCCATAACACGACTGAGCTCCAGCAGTTATTACTAATATTTATTGTGTTGAGTTGAAATGGAGAGAGATTTGTGTAGGACTGAGGCACATGCTCCCTCCTCTGCTTTCAGAGAAGGTATTCTACTGCAAAGATTAAGAGCCAGCCTGGTTCACATGCCTCTCCACAGAGTTCCAGCTCTATCACCAACTAATCCTATATGGCCCGGTTCAAATGCTGCCTTCTCAGAAGCACCGTTCTATTTCTAGCCCTAAGACAATGGAAGACACTCCTTCCTTGGTGCTCTATTATCCACTGTATAGCAACTGTAGTTAAACAAATAAGAGCCAACATTAAATAGACAGTATTCTACTCTACATGTACTAACGTGTTGACCTCTTACAACACGAGTTGTGAGATAATATACCTATGATGCAGATATTACTGTTATGTTTTACTAATGAGAGCTCTGAGGCACAGAGAAATTAAGTAACTCACTTAAGGTAAGTGGCAGAGCCATGATTTGAGCCCAAGCCAAGGCGCTGTGTCTTTGTCATTACATTTAGTGTTGACTTTTTCATAACTGTATCTGTCTGTGTCCACCTCCTCCCCACCAGGCTGGAACTCCATGGGCCCCAAGATGTGTTTAAATCTTCTTTGTCCTGCTACCATCTAGGACTGTCCCTGCCACGTGGCAGCCTCTTGCTGATGAGCCTTGGCTCAATGTATTAAATAGGGAGCCTCATCACCTAGTTGAATCAAGGCCAAGACACATGCCTTTTCCAGATGTAGCCCACTGTCATCTGTCAGCCCAGCTGTCACAGCCCACCCTATCTCCAGCTGCAGAGGAGAGCAGAAAATGCATCCTGACATCACAGGAAGGACCCAAGTAAAAGGTGCATCGATGGGGGCAAAAACCAGCCAGCACAGTGATTAATTTGGCCTCCCCTTCAATATTATGTTTACACAAGTTGATTATATAGCACTTAATTACTAATTTGCCCTGCTTAAACCAAGAGTGTTTTTAATTTTTAATGAGATAAGGGAAGAAGATGCCTTTACTTAGTAAGGAGCAGCTATTTTATTTCCTTCTCTTGTTTTGCCCAGCCAATTAATAACATTTCTAAGGAAATGTATCCCTGTCATGAATTCTTTCTCCCCATCTTCTTCCTGACCTCCCAGATTTAAAAAGAGATAGAAACAGACAAGAGCCACTTAGAAACAAACTGACTTCACCTTCTGATCTGGCTGGCTAGGCTGGGAAAGGCCTTGTAAAGCAAAGTAACATGGGACCCATAAATGGTGCTGTCTGGCTTTGTGGGAGTCGGGGTGTGTCTATTCCCAGAAAGCATGACTTGGTTGTTGTTACCAAAAGCAGAGAATACAGCCATAGGTCTCCAAACAAGGCAATCCCCCTAGAACCCTGCACTGTTTCCTGGGTATTAATGTCAGATAATTTTAAGCATGGCCCTAGGGCAGCCTATACAAAAAACACAGGTTTTGGAGTCAGCTCTGGATTTGATCGCCAGCTCTGCTACTTGTTAGATGATGGATCTGTTATTTAAACTTTCTGAGCCTCAGTTTCCTATCTGTAATGGTGAGGTGAATAACCTACCTTGCAAGAATCAAATGGCATCTCAAGTACCTTAGCACAGTGCCCAGCTCAGAAGAGGCACAGTTTTCTTGTCTTTGGCAGAAGGGAAGGCAGAAAAAGGAAAGCAGGGATAAGCGGGTCCCTTTTGAGCACCCTAGCCTGTCATCTGCAGAGCTGACAGATCTGATCAGTGTTACTCAAAGGGCCGGTCCATAATGACATAAGGAGTTTCCTCCAGAACGTAAACAAACACCCTGATTCTCTCACTGAGAACATCTTGCTACGAACAAAATGTTGTAATTGATTTACATTCTGATGCAAGTCCCTTATCTCATTGCCAATCTGTAACAAACCATTCACAGCTTGGCCTCTGGTCGCAGACAGACCTGCACAGCCCAGTCTGGATGACTACGGAGGACAGCTGCATTTGCTCCTAAAGACCCCCTCCCACCCTTCTCTGGGCTGTGCCAGGCTCACTTGTACGGACTATATCAATGAGCTCTCTTGCCCTATGACTTTGACTCCAGCCAATGGGGAGCCCGACAGTAAGTCAGAGAGCGGGAGGAAGATGGGGTCAATAACCCAGCTCTTCACTTCCAGGGTCACTGGCAAGCCAGCTGAATCGGTCGCCTCCACACAGCCCTCTGTTCTGGGGTTCAGGGGTCCCAGTAACTGTGCTCTCCCTTCCCCTCTTAAGGTCCAGCTGTTACAAACCCCAGTATACTATATCCTCCCTTGTGATTTCTCCAGGGCCGGTCCCCAGTCTGTAAATAGTCCCTCTACTAAACTCTCTAAAACTATCCTAATTTGAAGGTAACCTCTGTGGGGACCTTGACTAACACAGGGACATTTTAATGCACATTCAAATTCTAGTTGTCTACGAAAACAGACTCACAGACACAGAGAACAGACTTGTGGTTGCCAAGGGGGAGGGGGAGTGGGGGAGGGATGGATTGGGAGTTTGGGATTAGCAGACGCAAACTAGTATAGGATGGATAAACAACAAGGTCCTACTGCAAAGCACAGGAAACTGTACTCAGTACCCTGTGATAGACCATAATGGAAAACGAAAAGGAATATGTGTGTGTGTGTGTGTGTGTACATACACACACATATATGTAACTGAATCACTTTGCTGCACAGCAGAATTAACACAACATTGTAAAGCAACTATACCTCCATAAAATAAATTCAAAAAATTCTAGTTGTCTATTACTGGCACTAGTTTTTTAAAATAATGGCCATCACACTCAGTCCTAGAGGAGTCCACTTCCATGTGTGACCAAGCTGAACAGTCCTCAGCTTTGAAATCCTAGGCTAGGCCTCGGATTCTGGCTCCATCCCTTTCTAGCCATGGGCTCTGGTAAGTCACTTAAACCCTCCTACCCTGTTTCTTCGTTTGTAAAATTATGGTGATAATCGTATAGGAAATCTCCTTATGTATAACTTTTAACATGGTACTAAATTTTTAAATGTTCAAATTTCTTTGATATGCATGTAATGAGAGATATGCCATCCAAGTTTCTACACATGTGGTAGCTTATGGTTCATTGCAGCGTATCAGATACCTCCAATAAGCAACTGTAATAATGGTATTTCTTCTTTTGCATACTTCTTGATCATTTGCCTCAATGATGGAACCAAAAGTCTTTCACATACTTCAGTAAGACCTCTAAACATTCCATGACTCTGAATCAAACTTTGTTCAGTGGTATGTGGTATGTATGTGTATATGACTGTGTGTGTGTGTAATCATTTTTCAGAACTTTTTCCCAATTACAGACAATTCCTGATTTAACTAAAGGTCTTGTCTTCCCTCATCTCTTATTTGGTTCCATACCCTAATTTACTGTGTTGAATATCAAAGTTATACAGCATGGATAATCTATTCATGACATCCTAGAGTAAAGGGAGAAAAAAAAAGTCCTACCTATTCATTTCTGATTTATTCCAACAAAGACATTTATTATAAAAAGGAAAAGTATAAATGATCATTAGAATGAGGAATTAAGTACTTACAGACATTCATTTCTACTAAATAATCTAACGTATTTTTTCAGATTTGCACCAGTATAAAATGTTGTCTTGAACAAAATGAAGTCAAACAGGTAGGTAAACTCAGGGCTTCCCTGGTGGCACAGTGGTTGAGAGTCCGCCTGCCGATGCAGGGGATGCGGGTTCATGCCCTGGTCCGGGAGGATCCCACATGCCGCGGAGCGGCTGGGCCCGTGAGCCATGGCCGCTGAGCCTGCGCGTCCGGAGCCTGTGCTCCGCAACGGGAGAGGCCACAACAGTGAGAGGCCCGCGTACCGCAAAAAAAAAAAAAAAAAGGTAGGTAAACTTTATTTTAGAAATACAGTTTTGAAACCCTTCTAAGTTTCTAAAGTACTCAGTAGATGTTTGGCCACTGTTTTCTTTTATAAAAGCCCAAATCTTAAGTTCCTGAGTAAAAACTGCAAGGGGAGGGAGATATTTGGAAAAAATATTTGTTAGCCTAAATCTCTGTGTTAATAACAATACTATAAAAAGTGTCATTTAATTAAAGTTCTTAATTAAAGTGCTTTTTAATATACATCTGTATAAAAAGTAAATGGACAGATTATGATTAAATACAAATAAATAAAACAAAACACTACTGGGAGTAGGGTATGAAGCCTTCTCCAGGCAAAGAAATTAGAAAATTTCCAAACCAAAGAGGGTACATTTCTTCTTTTTATTTCTATGTCCCATACTCAACCAAGCAGTGAGGCTAAACATGTGCGCTGATATGTTCTATAAACCATACTACCCTGTAGAAGCGCAGCTAAAGTGCTATACTGGAATCTACACTTTTTCCGAGCAACAGGTATATATTTACTGGAATATAAAGAACATGGTTTGATGGAACAAAAAGAGCATGGACTTTGTGTCAAGCAAAGTTATATGACCTCTCCATGCTTCACTGTCCTCATCTGTACAGTGGGGACTGTTAACATCCACTGGTTGATGCAAGGATTCTATGAATGACAAAGGATGGAAAGTAACAGGCCCTGTTCTAGGATCACCCTGTAAGGAACAGGAGAGTCCATTGTCATATATCTTACAAACTGAAATAATTTCCTAAAAATAGAATACTAATTTTGCGCTAATTTTTGACTTTTATATCCATGGTGCCATTCTGCCAATTGGATTGGAACAAGGAGATGTATAATTAATCAGAACCTGAATTTGTTGTTGGTTTTTTTTTTTTTTTTTTTTTTTGAGTGGGAGCGATTCTCAAAAAGATAAGAATGTACTGTTAACCAGGTATGGCAGTAAGTATAAAGAATGTTAGGACCAGCATCACATTCTTAATTTAACCCTTCTTTAAATTATTAATTACCATTTCAGGTTTTCTGTTGATTTTCTATGAGGCACTCACATATGGGACAGGATACAGAAAATCCAATCAGAAACCTGAATCCATTTAGTTAGAAACCAGAACCTCATATCTCATGAAACACATGCTTAAGCAGCAAAGGGCAAAAGGTTGCTAAAAAAAACTGATAGTATCAGGACCATATGTGAAATAAATAGGATTTTAAGAGACCTGGGAATGAAAGCCAAATGAAACTAAAATTCACAGCAAAAGATACCTTATACACAAGGAATGTGAGCCCTGAATTTTCACACACTATTGGTGGGAGTATAAAGTGCTAACATGTATCAAAATCCTAAAAGTTAGGCAAACTTTTTGACCAAATAACTATACCTCCATCATTTAGTTTGTGTAAATAATTTAGGGTATGGGCAAAAATTTAGATACAGAGACGTTAGTTGCAGCATTCTTTAAAACAACGGAGACAACCTGAGTATTCAAAACTAGAGGACTGGGGATATAAGTCATGGTACATAGCAGGGGTCCCCAACCCCCGGGGCCTTGGACCACTACTGGTCCGCAGCCTGTCAGGAACCGGGCCGCAGAACAGGAGGTGAGCGGCGGGCAAGGGATCGAAGCGTCATCTGCGGCTCTCCATCGCTGGAATTACGGCCTGAACCATTCCCCACCCACCCCCATCTGTGGAAAAATTTTCTTCCACGAAAGCGGTCCTTGGTGCCAAAAAGGTTGGGGACCGCTGGTCTACTATGGGGCAGAAAATTGTACAGCCTACAAATATGATAAATAAAGATGTTTACTATGTATTTTTGGGTGGGGGAAAAAAGGCTATAAAACAATATGCATTGTATGAACACAGTTTTGTAATTTAGAAAAGTATAAAATAATTTAAAAGTACGTACAAAAAGATTACAAAGATAGAAGCCAGAATCTAATATAGTGGTTGTTTTAGGGTAGTAATATCAGTGTTTTCATATTTTTCTTTCAGCTTAACTGAATTTTCTTATTTTTTCCCAATGAACATGAATTAGTAGTTGTATTCCAGAAAAAGGAAAGAAACCCAGCAAATTAAGACTGAATGTGCCAAGAAACGGCATGGTTTCATATTTCTGAACATCTATTATATATCAGTCTTTCCAAACCTCCAGAAAGCAAGATCATGGTAATCAACTTTACTTCGCAAAATGTAAAACTGGTATTTATGGTGACAGGAAGCCAAACAGGACTAAAAAACACAGAAAGTTAACTCTCACAAAATAAAACAATATGGAGACGTATTGTATAGCATAAAAAAAAACAGGCTTTGAAGCACATAATAGGTGATGAATATAAACTGGCTCTAAGTGAAGGAAATGTCATGAAAAAGAACAGAAGGAGAGGCTTCAGCTAAGCAGTGAGGATGTTTGCAAGGACTGACCTTGAGGGTAGACCACTGCGGTCAGCGTGGGTAGTTTATCCTGTGGGCACACATTACAGAAAGGGTGAGTAATCACCGCTCTCCACTGGCCACTTAGATGCATTGGTCTGCGAGACACAGGAGTCTGTCTGGAACGTGACAGGGAAAGTTGATGGTGGGAACGCACGGAGTCAATGGTTTACAGAGGCGGCAACCCTCACACCGTGGGAGGAAAAAAGGTTTTGATTAATTGGCTGATTCCAAGGGCTTATTTTCTTTACCCTGGTACTACCATTAAAATGATGGCTGAATTCATTTTGATCTCTTGTCACTGTCTCCTTCTGCTGATTTTTGCTTCAGAGGCTTCCTCTACTGCTTTTTTTGGGGGGAAGGGTGGGTGTCAAGACAAATATCAATAGCACAGTTAGAATTAAAGCTTATTTTATATAAATAGTCTTGGGGGGAAAAAGCTTTCTTTTAAGATAAGACATCACAGGAAGCTAATGACATCTGCAGAGGGGCTGAAGGAAGCAGAAAGTGGAAAGCCATTTTGTATTTCTGCCTCTTTGCCATTGGATTGAGTTTTCTCTCATGGCATCTTGAAACCGCTTTCTTGCTTTATGTGTCCTTTGAATTTCTTAGAACCTCTCTATTGTCTGTGCTTAGGAAGTGTAATCATGTTGATAGTTCATAAAGTGATTTTTTCCCAGTGTGTTAATTTCCCAGGGCCTGGGAGCCTAGAGAATCGTTATGGGATGCTCCCAACTTCTAATGATAATTATTTGCTTTCCAGGATATTCAGAATTTGAGAGGATCACTTTGGAGCACACTGATGGCCAGAGGAGCGATGGGTGACATTCTAGGGATGGAGGAGTGGTCAGGTGGAAAGGCCACAGATGCCAAGACCGCCTGGATAACTCTAAGGAGGGAGGAAGACTTCCTTCCTTGCATCCCCTCCCACTTACTCAATAGCTGAACTTTTACCATGAAAATGGCATCTCTGTGATTTGATCCCATTTTATTAAGCTGCAGATACAAAGACAACTGTGACATGATACTTGTCACACTGTCTAGTGGAAGAATAGTTTTGAAAACTACTAAAAGGAGAAATGGTGATTTCTGGAGAGGGACAATTCTTTAAGGTATTATTAGTCATTCTACTCTTTAATGCAGATGGATGGCTATAGCTACACTTTGTGAGATCCTAATTTGGAAAGGGAATAGGAGCAGGAAGCCTTTAGTTGTCTAAAGGAAGGGAGGGTAGGAAAGGGCAGAGGAAGAGAGGGAGAGAGAGACTCTGAGGATGAGAATATGAATGGATAAATGAACAAGAGGTGGAAGCAGGAACTGTCAGCAGGCTTCAAAATTTGGAATAGCAATGGACCTTGTACTTGACCAATCTCTCCCATTAATACCTCCATCAGAAAATTCCATCCACTATCCCTCTCCCTCCAGCTGATAAACTTTCCCCAGAATTCAAATATATAGAAGTTTGCAATAGCTGTAAGTAAAATCCACAATTCTAAGTCCTTCTGATCTGTTGGTACTGCCAAAGGAAGGTATAGCGCTCTACCCCTAGCTGAAGTCATCCATTCATGGGCCTAAGACATTGGGAAACCCTGTCTCCCTGGGCACGTAGGACTCTTCCCTAGGTCTGCAGCCTGGTTTTCTGGAGTCTTCTTAGCCTTTCCTTCATCTGAAGGAGATGACTCCGGCTGAGTCTACCAAAGTCTGCCCAACCAGATAAGAAGTGAAATCCTTTATCCAACGACCAGATGTGTGGTCTATGAGAAGACAAAACATCTGGCCTGCTGGAATCACTGAGTTGCTGGCAAGCTCTGCTCAGCTTTCTTACAGGAAGGAGTGGCAGGCACCCTGAAGATCAAGCTAGGATCTTTGAAGTTCAAAGAAAAAACTGTGTTGAAGTTCAGATTGAAAAATATGAATCACAGGGAGGAAGTAATTCTTTTTCACCTCAACTTGCCAGAATCCTGAGCTGGTCTCCAGGCCTGGGGCACATAGGTTGGCACCTCTTCTTTAGAGAGGGGTGAATGAAGCCAAGTTGACATGCATTTACATTTCCAAACATAATCATTATTACAATGTTGACAATTATACCTGGGCTTCACGGAGGTCACTGAATCTTTCAAAGGCTCTATCTCAGCAGTTCCACAGGAATGGCAATTCTTATTTAAACATTTTTCAGAAAGGAAATAAAACAAACAAATGAAACGAGCACCTGGAGAGGCCAAGTGACATTGTTTGAGGATGTACAACAACCATGCACAGAGGTTATGACCACATGGATTCCCTCAGGCATGTGATGACAGGTAAGATTCAGGTCTCTGGCACCTGGGGGCTTTCTTTACCAGATTACAGTGTCTCCTAAAAATAGTCAGGAGAGGCACATAATTCCTTGGGTTGAATAGGAGACATGAACTTGTCTTTAAGATTTTGTGGGCCTTGCAGTTGCTACTCAAGTCAACAATTCCAATTTTTGATCTACCATATCTTAGATCCTGTTCCAGAATATTAAGGGAAAATATTATGTAGTGAAGAAGATGTCAGTGTGGGATGAAGCTCAGTTTCCACTTAGGAGAAGAAGTGAGTGGAAACTTCTCAGAGCTAGAAACTCCAGATTTGACTAAGATGTCAATGAGGTGCCACAAGGCATGGTATGAAGTATGTGATAAAGCAGCCAGATCTTGTCACACTACTCTTGTTTCAGTGGCAGACTGTCTCCTGATTTGTGACCAATGACATTTCTTTTCAGAAAATTCACCTTTGAACATTTAAGAAGCCAAATTTTTTTTTCAAGAAAAAAAAATTAGACTAAAGTAGAAAAAGAATGAAAATCAACAAGGATATAATCCAGAGAGACCTTGATTTCAATTCTGCTTCTGCCCCTTATTAACTGTAGCCTTGGGCAAACTTCTTAAAAACTCTCTGAGCCTGGGTTTCCTCATATATAACACAGGAATAAAAAGCCTTATTCCCTCAGGCAGGGAGACTGTCAAGATTCAACGAGGTGTCTTCATCTGCTTGGGCTGCCATAACAAAATATCACAGATTGGATGTTTAAACAATAAAAATTCATTTTCTCAGAGTTCTGGAGGCACTAAGATCAAGGTGCCAGCATGGCTGAGCTCTGGTGAGGGCTCCCTTCCTGGCTTGCAGATGGCCACCTTTTTGCCGTGTCCTCACATGGCAGAGAAAAAGCAAGCTCTGGTGTCTCATCGCATCAGGGCACTAATCTCAACATAAAGGTCCCACCCTCATTTCCTCGTCTAATCAAAGTCACCTCCCAAAGGCCACATCTCCAAATACCATCACACTGTGGGGTTAGGGATTCAAATTTGAATTTTGAGGGGACAGAAACTTCCAGTCCATAATATGCATTAACCTATGCAGGGCCTTAGTAAACATCTCTACTGTTTTGTTTTGGCAATTATGCCTTGTCCCAGGAAGTGCAAGGCACCTAGTTATGAGAACATCTTCATAAATCAACACATTAAAATAATAACTGACAAGTCACTAACATTTCAACAATAAATAAACATCTCCATGTGATGTTTCTGAGACAGCACCAGAAAATCCAGAAAAAAGTTGAAAACTCAACTCTACCATCTTTGTTTAAAAACTCCAGTTAAGATCCACAAGCATTCATGAGTGGGTTCAATTCTTTGGAAGGGATATTTCACAAGCATCAATTTGAGAGGCTTGGCAGGGTGTCGTGCACCACACTTCCCAAAATGTGGCACAAAGAGCACAGATATTGGTATCAGACTCTTGCATGTGACCATTTCCAACAGTGTACACTTGAGTTCCATAATCTTTCTGGATCTCTGTTGCCTGTGTGGGTTGTGAGAGGTAGCAGGAAGGTTATATGAAAAGCACCTAGCATAGTTCTTGGTACATAAGAGGATCACAATAAATAAAGCTCTCATTACTGGGCTACTGGTGGAAAACCTGGCTTGTAGTCCTGACTTTGAGACCGTGGGCAAGTCACTTAAGCTCTCTGGTGACTCAGCTGAACAAATATTTCTTCAACTTTCAGTTACAACTTGGGAGCCAGACTTCTTGGTTCTGGCATTTACTAGCTGCTTCAACGTAAGCCAAGTTATTTAACTTCTTTTTGCCTCAGGTTCTTCAACTATAAAATGGGAATTATAGAGCTGTTGCGGGACTGAACGTACATTCCCGGTCCAGAGAAAGAACTCATAATGTGCTCCTGATTATTATTACAGATAAAGAAATGGAGTGGAAGCAGAACGGTCAGGTTACAGAACTAGTTGGAAGTCAAGTGAGGGTTGCCTTCAGAGCCTGTGCCTTCAGCCTTAAACTATACTGCTTCTCTACCTTTTTGTAAACCTATTGTTAATCCTATTATTTTACCACTCAAAGTCTCTCCATAAAACCCACATGTGAAATGTCTTTTTCAATTCAGTGTAGGAAAAGCTTTGTCTCCTAAAGAAACTAGTATGCTTCCTCTTTTTGAAAATAAGAATTATGTAACTTATCATGTGTTCTTTTTTGTCTCGGCTGCCAGGAAGCTCAGAGTCAAACTGTCTGCTCCATCATTGCCATCGAGTTGTTTCCTTCTTCCTATAACTTTGTTCCTTATTTTTTCTTCTAACTCCCTTTTACTAACATTTTCATTTGTGCACCTTGCTGAAAGAGACCTCAGAGGTATTTGAAAAGTGGTGGATGGAGATGAAAGAAGCAAATACAAATCAGAAATTCACATGAAAAATTTGTTTTGTACCTTACCTGCTTCACTTGCTAAAAGAAAAATGGTCAAGGGGAAATTCAAATGAAATAATATAAGAGCTATTTTAAAGGAGAAAAAAAGAAAACCAACAGAAAGACAGAACAACCGACAGTAATGGAGGCCAAGTCAAATGAAAACTGCAAAAAATATGTGAGGCTAGAAGTGTTTGTGCTTTCCCTGGCTGGAACCTATCATTTCTTAATTATATCCTGTGTGTGCTTTGCAAGACATGAGCTGCTGTCAAGAGGAAGGACAGCCCCAGACAGGGGAGGGGCCACGGCCCACCCCTTGGTCCTCACGTACCTGTACAGAAGCGAAATCCCCCGAGGCACAGGCCCCCAGAATAGCAGCACCCACGAGAACAGACTCCACCTCTTGCGACAGGACCACAGGCATGCCTGTGCAGGACAAGGCCACACCTTGGTTAGGGAGTAGTAGGGCCAGGGGCCACGCGGGGAGCCGGCCAGCAGCTCCAGCAGCACAAACACCTGATGTAGAGGCAGCAGGGGTGCTCCCCCCCTCCCCCTTGCAGTTCCCTGTTCTTTGGGATTACCTGGTTCTAAAGGATTTCACTGCCTCTGCCTGCTGCTGCAGTAGCCAAGGGTCCCCTGGAAGCCAGCACCATATATCTATATCTATATCTGTATCTATATCTATATTTATCTATCTATCTATCTATTTATCAATCATCTATCTATCTATATGTATCTGAACTCAGCAGAGCTTTCTGCCCAGGTTTTCCAGGCTTCTGCTAGCTGCTACCTGCCATTTCAAGTAGTTAAACAAACATTTACAAAGTGTTCTGCGGGGCCAGTGATACAGAGATGAATAAGACTGTCCTGCTATTCAGGTCTCAAAGGGGAGATGGATGAGAGAGAGATAAAGGCCACACAGGGGGTTGGATCTCCAACTGAGATGCACTAAGGAAAGGGAAGTAGTGAGAGAGGGTGTGATGAATCCTTCCTTCAGGGGCCTCAGAGTACAAGCCAAAGCCCTTACCAAGGCTGACAAGGCCCTCCAGGATCGGTGCCACTTCTCCCACCCTGATTGGCTTCCCCTCTCCTCTGGGCCACACTGCCCGGCCTCCTTGCCCTTTCTTGAATCTGCTTCAGGGCCCTTGCTTGTGCTGTTCCTTCTGTCTGGGTCACTTGCTTCCAGATGTTCCCATGGCAACTCCCTCCTGCAAGTCTGTGCAAACATCCCTCCCCACTGCAGCTTTCCTGACCATCTGAAGTGAAATGACAACTTACCCACAACATCCCTTACCCGCCTCATGACTTCCTCATTGCCTTCCAACACCGTGTTATTACTTCTCTTGTTCACTGTCTGTCTTGCCTGCTAGAACATACGCTCCATGAGGGCAGGGACTTTTTGTCCACTGCTGAATCCCTGGAATTGAGAGCGGCGTCTAGCACACTGTAACTGCTTACATGATGAATGAATGAATTTTCGAGATGGGGAAGGGGGTCAGAGCAGGGGAGCTCAGGATTAAACAAGCATTTGAAGGATGAGTAGGGGTCCACCAGGCAGGGAGGAACACTCCACATGACAACTCCCAGAGGCTGAAGGTTCACAGTGGACTTAAGGTGAATAGGAATAATTTAGAATTCTTAGTATTTTATATGTGTGTGTATATGAAATGAAAAGTACATAAAATATAAATATATTTGCTAATCAGGAGATGGCACCAAACTCCACAGAGGTAAGCTCTGTGGCCAGACCTGTGTGTGAGATCTTCCTCTACTCAAGACATTATTTTTCCAAAGACTGGATTTCTCTTCCTATCTTTGCTGGCAAGAGTTCCCTGACACATCCTCCTCTGTGCTCCCACCATCTCCTAACTCACTGTCCTACTCCAGGGCTGGGGCAGCTGCCCCAGCCATCCCAGACAAAGGGAGTAGGGGGAAGAATTCCCACACATATCCCAGTGGACTTAGGAATACCAGCCCCATACTGCAGGGCCAGCACTGGAGACTTTGCTGACAAGTATCAGGTGGGGTGGGGTCTCTGGGAAAAGCTCAGACCTGGTTCCACTCGCCCTGTGTCCTTCAGCAAGTCACTTAAACCCTTTAGCCTCAGTTTCTCCCTGTGTAAAATGGGGATGATAACAGGTTTGCTGTGAGGATCCATGAAAAAGGGCACATATGGGGCTTAACACATTTCCTGGCCTATGATAAGCCCCTGAGAGTGGTGGCCTCTATTGTTAGGATGAATCTCAGTGAGGGGTGAAGCCCTCCTCCATGCACTCCATCTGGGTTGGAAAGTGGACCACAGGGAAAGGATGGGGCAGGTTGCCCATCAACCATCCAGAGGGGCAGGAAAGACACCAGGCCACGCAGAAGGGCTGTGTTGGTTGCATCAGGAGAGAGCACCGCAAGCCTTTGCAGAGTCTGGGGATCATGGGGACGGGGGTGTGACCATGACTATCCCATGGCCCTGGGACTTTTTAGAAGACAGCACTCCACATGCTGTTTGCCTCCTAGCCCTCCTTACCCTGTCAAAGCTTCACTGCTCTGAGCAGGGAGGAACTACTCACAGGCCCCTCTCCTTGGGAACGGGAAACCAGAGGAGCCGGGTGGATCCCCCATCAGCTCTCCAGTTGCAGCCCAAAGTGCTCTGGAGCCAAGCTGCCAGGGTTTGAATTCTGGCTTCCTCCCTGCCTTAGCTGTGTGATCCTAGGCAAGTTACTTAACTCCTCTGTGCCTGTTTTCCCAGATGCAAAATGAGGTTAAACTTCCATTGATCTCACAGAGTTGCTGTGAGGGTTAAAAGTGCTTAGAGGAGGCACTAAATTGGCATTAGCTATTATGATTCTTAATGTTTACCGTATCTCAGTTATTCCCACCCTCTTCTCACCTCGGCCCCAACACCTGTTCTGGGTCCTGGGACACTGCCGTGTGGACCAAGTCTGTAGCCCCCTTGTCCTCCGGCCACATCCTGGACTGAGCTCGTCTCCAGCCACGAGGCCCCTCTTCACATAGCCCCTCAGTCTCAGGTGGGTCACCTCCTGCCCCAGCCCCTGCAAGCCTAGGGGTGGTCAGACTGCAGGCAGCCCCATGGTACCGCCTGGTGACCGGGGTTTCCCTCAACCCTGCCCACACCTCTGTAAATAGACCCTTTATTCGACTGTTCTCCAGTTAATCCAATCTGAGTGTGTCATCTGTTCTCTGCCTGGATCTGACTCACGCTGCCACCAACGTCCTCTGGGTACTCCGTCCTCGCTGGACACTGGTCAGAGCACGAGAGCACTTTTCTGTTTGTAATGGCCCTCTTGGCAGGCCGTTATTGTTCTTCTTTGCATGCTCGTGCCAAGCTCAGCATGTGTACTCAGAGAATGAATACATGAAGGAGTAAATGAGTGAAATAATGAATAAGGCGGGAAGAGGGAAACCCCTACGGAAACTGCCAGAATTCTACAAAACAAAATTTAGGAGGAACATTTAGTCCCAAGTCAGTGAGGGAAACCTACAATTACTTAGTACACACCAAGTATTTCTTGAAACCACAGTTAACTATATGCCCAGGGTACAACGAGATTCTTCCTCCTCACGTAGAGGACATTTCCCAAGTTGGCAAAACCCTACTCTCCCTGCTTGCCCAGAGCAGGAGCAGACTGTTCCCCAAATGGCAAAGATTTGCTTAAAAAATATTTAGCTTCTTTTTTTCTGAAATGCACCACCTTTCTGGCGTGGGGCTGCCTTCAGGGAAGAAGTGAGCTAACATTTATTGAACACCTATTTTAAGTGAAGCACAGAGATTGGTGCTCACAAACTTGTGAGTATTTATTCCTCAGCATGATCTATATGAGGGAAATAATATTATCCCTACCTTTCAGAAGAGGGAAATGAGGCTCAGAGAGGTAAAGCAACTTGCCCAAAGTCACAGAGCTGGTCCCTTGCTCTTTCCATTACTCCACACTATCTCCAAAGCATCTCCCAAATTCCACCGTGTTTTCCACATGTTATTCCTGAGAATCATGTACCAGGTCTATGGTTCTTTCTACAGCTTTCTTTGCAGGAAAACTAGAGCAATTACAACGTTTAAAGGCACCAAACACTCTACCTATACACCCCCGGCTTGTGTACCCATCTTTTGCAGAAACAAATGCAAATATGTTCTTTTCTCAGAATGCTGGGTGAAGGAGAGGAAGAAGGCAGCTTTGCCTGGAATGTGAACTATTTTATCTGACGCATTAATGAGTTTAGCAGAACCCAAAGCATTTAAAGGCAGATGCACTTTGCCATCACTTGTCAATCACCGGCTTCCCAAGGCAGAGGAGTTTCAGGCCAAAGAAAAGGCCCCTTTGTCCGGAACTGTAACTGGTCCATAGTCAGAGACAAAGGGTCCAGTTTCAATTGGAATCCAAATAACGATTAACAGCCTTTTCATTCATGAGCCTGAAGGAGAACAGTTTCCAAAGCAGAACTTTCTCTGAAGCCACTGCACCCCTGCTTCTGAGTCAGCTCAGGGGCGTGAGGCCTGGAAGAGAACTCACTTTCATAAAGGCTGGAGCAGCGGTGCAGAGTCAGGACCTGGGTCACACAGGCTACCCTGCTCTTGGGGGCCCTGTTTCCCATTCCCTTGGGTGATGTGTTAGCCAAGGTTGATTTTATCTCCCCTCCTGAATCCAGGTAGGAAGTTTTGGTGGCTTTTTGGAGGCTGGAAATTAAAAAGTCACTCACAGATCAGATTTTAAGTCTGAACCGTGCTTGAACAAGCTAGCTGACTTTGAGATAAAATGTAGTCATGGCTTTTCTCCTAGGGAAAATCTAAGGTAATCTGGGCTCCTTTTTAAGTCTTTCTTCTTTCTGCCTCAGAATGGCCTACTTCCATAGGTTTTGGACACTTTAGGAAAGGAGGAGTCATCATCAAATGGTTACAAACCGGGCAGAAAAGTTAAGAAGCCTGGGTCAGAGCATAGTGTAGGGGATGCTGGGCCTGGACACACCTGGTACAATCGTGGTCCTGCCCCTACTGGGTGTCTGACGTTGGACAGTTAATTTAACTCACCTTCCTGACTGACCCTGTTTCCTTGTCTGTAAGATGGGGACACCAATTTCTACCTTTTGGTGGTGTGTGTGGACTACATGTAAATAGGGTGATTCATATCAACACAGAGTGGGAGCGTGGTTAATGGTAGTCATTTCTATACTTATTTTTATATATTTACCCTTAGACTGTGTGCTTTTTGATACTGTTCTCTGGCTTGTGCCTCAGCCTCCCTACCTCTAAGATGGGGATCAGTAACTTATTTAGTTTGATCTCACGATGTGCAGGGGGTACATGTTGCCCATCATGATTGGGAAAGCTCTCACCCGCAGGGATCTGCATGGCCTGGAGGGGGAAGGGAGAGTCAGGGGCAGAAACCTGGACCCACCCAGCTGTCAGAGGTAAGGAATCCAGGGGACAGGGGACAGCAAGAGATCATGATGAATGGAGGCCAGTGGAGGGTGGGCTCAGACGAGACTGGAGGTGGGGCTGTGAGCAGGGTCCAGTTCTCTCCGACTTCCCTATCCTTGCCCAGCCCTGGTGCCTGGCCACCCCGGGATGGGGTGGGGAGGGGGGACATCAGTCCCCAGGAGACACAGGGAGAGAAAGGAGCAAGGGGCATGAGGGCACAGGTCTAGAGGAATGGAAGCCCAGGCCAGCCTCTGGGACAGCAGCAAGCCTCCTGCCTATAGGGCCCCTTCCTTGGGGCCCAGGGGTCTGCACTACAGATCCTGCTCTGCTTTTGTCTGCTCATATCACAGAGAGATCAGCCCATTACCCTGGATTCTCTCCATCTGTGTCACGATCCCTGATTCTGATGAGCCGAGAAGGAATCACAGGATCTTGGGGGTCTTAGGGCCCAAACCCCCATCTGCAGCCAGACACCCACAGCTTCCACCATGGCTGGGCTCTGCAATCTTTCTTCAAACAGTCTCCTTATCACTTCCTCCAGTCACTTGCTGTGGACCGTCACAGGTCCAAACCAGGGCGAGGTGGCCCATGGTGTTTCTCCAGTACCCTGTGCTTTTCTCACTCAGAGCTCTTGCCACACTGGATTTGACATGTCTGCTGTCTGCCTTCTTCAATAGCCCCTGAGCTCCCTGGGGGCAGGGATCATGTCTTCATCTCTGTATTTTCAATACTGCCCACAGTGGGGGGGATCAGAAGAGGTACTCAAGACTGTTGAGTAAATACTTGAATTAAGATCTAGTCCTTGCTGACCTCTCGTGTCTCATTTCTTACCATGACCCAATAGTTAGACACACATAGGAGTCACTTTCCCCACTGTGACAACCATAGCTGTCTTAAGAAAAAAAATACATTTTAACATAAATACTCAAAATAATTTGGCACACTACTTATATCTTCCTATTCTCTACCCTGTCTAGATCTTGGCCATGCCCATTTGCTGCCAAGCCTACAATGACTTTCTCTCCTTCTTCTTAGACTTACCGGTAATGTCCGCATGCATTTGCACAAAAAGGGGGTTCTTGCCGAGGCCCCCACAGAGGAAAAGGGTGCTGATCGAGTGCCCTGCTGACTCCATGGCCTCTATAATGAGGCGCGTCCCGAACTTAAAGGGAAGAACAGAAGAAAGCATCAGTACGGTAGCAAAGGTAAATTGATCGGGAACATTTACTAAGTGTTTACCCAGTACTAGATGCCGCACTAGGAGCTCTAGATACACTACCTCAGAAAGTCAGGGCTCAAGATTACATTGCCCGTGATCACACCATTATATTAAGTTGCAGAGCGGGAATTCCAACCTGGGCCTGCCTGACTCCAAAATCTTCTGAATCATTGCACCATTTGCTTCTATCAGTAGTTATACAATGTTGACAAAAAGAGTTGACAACGTTAACATGGTGCATATTAACACAGTTCGTTCAAATACATATTTGATGAGTGTCCATTATGGCCCAGGTCCTCCATGAGGTACGGGGAATGGAGTCATTGGCAGCTCTACTCCAATGATAACAGTTGGAGATCTCTGAGTCAGTTTCCCTTCCCTAAAGAGGAACTAAAGAAGTTTGTTCCTTGGAAATGGCACCAACAAACTCAGCAGCAGAAACATGGAAAGAGGGCTTGAATTGCACAAAGAAGGTAGGACACAAGACTTCAGGCTGGCAAAAGAACCTTTGTTACCACCTGAAACCAGGTAGTGGTTCTAATAAGGAGGCTTCCAGTGCCAGAATCCATTCCCAGTTAGTCCTTAGTGATCTCGGATGATGCAGAAACCACATGCTCCGGTTGGCTTAGGGCTTCACCATATTTTCATTTCAGCCTTTGTGTCTTCCTTTCTTCTGAAAATGTGTTATCTATCGTCCTTGTCTTGCTCAGTTCACTAAAGTAAAAATTACTGATGCTTGACAAGAGACCACTATCATAGGGTCATCGAGGTGAATCTTAATGTGTAAGTCATTACTTTTAGCTAGGGTATTCGAGTAGCTAAAAAATCATAATTTCCTAGGAAGTTCGAAAACTGGAAGTCCAAAAATCATCATTTTTTTTTTTTTTTTTTTTTTTAATGAGAGAAGGATTACAAACAAAAAAGATGAACTGTGATATGATCTCAGGAGGCAGCCTAATGGCGATGATTGAGAAAGTGGCTCTGGGGAGAAATGAGGGAGAGGGTTTTTTGGTGGCAAGATAGCCCTTGAGATATTCAGGGAGTAAGCAACTTTGGGGGATGACCAAGTCCCAGGTGTGCACATGGGAGTGAGGGGCTGAAGCGGATGGAGGAGAAGGTCAAGGGGGAGGAGGAGGTCAAGAGAGAATATGGAGGTCAAGGATCTGGGAGGCCAGAGATGGTGCCACCACCAAGAAGGCGGGGTTCGGGCTGGAGACAAGAGTATCACAGATTCGCTGAAGGTGTGACAGTGGTGCTGGGAAGACGGTGTTCAGGTGCACAGAGGAGGAGAAGACAGTTCAGCTTGAGGGCATGCAGCACCAGAGGCTTAACCAAAGTAAAGGAAGAGGGCTTAGGAAGTTATCAGAATGCTCCCCTGACCCCTGGGGAGCAGGGGGGGATGTAGAAGCTTCTTTCACAGGACTCTCCAGAGAGCTGTCTCCCTGGGGCCAGGGGGTGCCTCTGGGAGAGGCAGGGCTAGAGGGTGATCTGGGGACCAGGGGGGTGTGAAATCCTGATTGCTGTGTAGTAAATGATGAGGGATGGGGGCAGTCCAGAACCAAGATTTCCAGCCCATAGGTCTTCAGGTTTGTTGAAGTTATTAGTGAATCTGGTAAGAATATGGATTAGGTAAAACTTGGGCCTCCAAAGATCATCCACAGATGTAGTGTGTTAAAAAAAAAATTAAAACATATTGTACCCTATAAGGCCAGATCCTGCTTATTGAATATGGCTGATTACCCCCAGATGTTCTTTCTTAAGCTTTTGGGGGGTCATGAACCCTCTTGAGAATATGATAAAACCTACTGACCTCCCCAGAAAATAGTCATATATAAAATAATATTATAACTAATTTCAGGCGTTCTACAAATGCCCTTACATCTACCATGGATCATTTGGTGTCGGTGGATTCCAGGTAACCCTAGTGTACTCCAGGGGCATGAATCTGCAGGAGATAAGAGCATGGCTTTTGAATTTAAAAAAAGCTGGGATGGCATTCAGGCATTTCACCTATTTCTTGAATCAAAACCATACCTAACCTTTCCATGACTCAATTATCATTTTAAAAATGGGAATAATAACACCATATTTTTCATTTGATAACTCCATGGATTGTCTGAAATGCTAACATGCAACAAAAATTTAAAATGTGGTCTTAGACTTGCTGAAATACAGTAACATCTATCTCACAAGTTTGCTGCTGTAGACAGTGTATCTGAAGCTCATAGGAGTGTCCAGTACAGGGACGGTGTTTAGAAATGAGAGCTAATCTGGTTGTTAGCTCTATGCTAGGCATTCTGCTGCTCCTTAATATCACCTCTAATTTCATGAAACACTCAAAAACTGCATATTATTATCCCCATTTAGGATTTCTATAGTTTGCCTAAAGCCATGCAATCTGCCTTAGGGGAGGGGAAGCTGCCTCCCAATATGCATGGAAATACCATGCAAAATTGATATTTCTGATGTTTCTAAAATCAGAGACCTGAGGGCTCATGTGATTAGCAGGCCTGAGAGGAGAGTAACACAAAGCACATTCCCTGGGAAAAGGCAAGAAGCAATCCAAACAAGAGGCACTCGCTCCAGAGGGGCTGTGACAGCCTGTCTCTCTCCCATGTGGCATTGTCAGCAGGAATTTCCCACTCGGGCTGCCCGGTTAGTTACAGGGCCTTCCCTTTCGGTGTCCCAGACGCCACTGTGTGAAACACTCCACCCTCCTTAAATGCCCCACCAAAGGGCTTTGTGCTAAAATGATCTTGTGCTCACCTTTCTGGAAAAAATGTTTTCACAGAGAAATTTAAATTAAAATTAGGCTATTCCACTGGGAATGTACAGAACCAAATGCAAATGGAGAGACTTCAAATGCAAATAGTACTTTTTAAGGGTCTATTCTGCAAAGAAAGCTATAGATGAACAGGCTATGAATAAACTGGGTGTTTGACAGTTCCTTCAATTAAGCTTGGTCAAGAAAGAATTTCACTTTATGGAGGGTTTTGCATAGTCCCAAGTTAACTTCATTACAATATCTCTAATTTCATCCCATTCTTACAAAATATCAACCGTAGATATTACTACAGAGAAGAATTTGCTTAACTTTAACTTCACAACAAATAGGTGTAAAGGCTATATTCAGAGTCAATGAACACATTTTTTTTTCAAGGTGAACATCATGGGAAAATATCTGTTATCAGAATGCTTCATTAAAATGCACATTAAAATGCACAAAGGCACTAAAAGATCAGAATGCCCAGATACTTTTGCAAAACAGACTGAACTCCTCACAGCTCAACTGACTATACAACATAGCCTTATCGAAAAATCTGTCTTAAATTGCCTTCTCTTCATGGTATTATAAAGGTCATTAAAACAATGGACAGAATAAATATGATAGCTTTTGATATCTGTACGGCCCATTACATACAAAATTGATTTTCCAAGTGTGTAGTATTTGGGAAAATGCAGTTGGCTTTCTCCCATCCCAGCCCTCCCCAGCCCTCAGCCTGCATTAGGTTTAACCTAATTTATACATTCTTGGACTTCTTACCAGTAAGGGGACCTCTGTGAGACAATCCTGGCCAAATTAATGATGTTGTCTAAGATGTGTCAAATCAAAACTGTTCTCAGGAATGCCTGAAGGCTTATTTCAATCATGTAGCTTTTACAAAGCAATCAAAGAAAATTGCAGCATGGTAACGTGGAAAGAGCAAAAGCCTAAGAGTAGAGAGAGGTTCAGATTCTGACTCGACCATACACTAGCTGTTTGACCCTGGCAAGCAGTGTTCCCTCTGTCTGTAAAATGAGGACAATCCCACCTACTGACTGGGTTACTCACAGGTGGGTGTAGTACCCTGTTTGGTGCCTGGCACAGAGAGTGGGTGTCAGTGAGAGGGACCAGTGGTTGTCATCACAGGATGGTGGCCCTTGGCTCATCTGTGTGGTCTCGTTCTTCATGCCCCCCTCTTAGCATGGACTCAGAAGGAAGAGCCTCACACAGCTCTGATTTTCCAGGATTATTTATTTTAATGCAAGTGGCTCATTCCACTGTAAGACTTTTCACACAGTGATATTAAGATCAGAAAATAAAAGCCCCTCAATTATTGGGAGATTGGGATTGACATATATACACTAATATGTATAAAATAGATTAACTAATAAGAACCTGCTATATAAAAAATAAATAAACTTCAAAAATTCAAAACAAAACAAAAACAAAAAAAAGCTCCTCAATTCATCGTGTACCTAGTTTTATTCTAGAAAGCTGTGGGTTCAAATCCCAGCTCTGCCACTTACTAGCTGTATGAAACCGATCAAGTTAATTAACCTCATTGAGGCTTAGATTCTAATCTTCGGAAGGGGGATTGTGATACTTCCCTCATAAGGTAAAGTCAGATAACGTATGTAAAATATTTGGCATAGTTCCTGGTACATAATATCCCCAAACTATATTATTTATCAATATTATTATTATCTTTACTGTAAAGCAGGATTGCTAAATAACTGTCTTTATTACTGATGCGTATTTTTGTTCTCCATTTTCATTTTTTCATGGTAGTCAACTCCCGCCATTTTGATAGATGTCAGAATTGTCTTTTTTTGACCAAGTTACCATAAATAAAGCAGGCTGACTGATATTACTGAACGGGACAGGCTGTTAATAAGATAGTTGTTTCAGGAAGATACAGTCAAATTGGTCTATAAGCTAAGAAGGACTGTTTAATCTAATTGAGTTGGCCAGTTCTGCTCTCTTATTGCGTGTACTTGGTACCTGGATAAATCTAAAACATAAGAAAAGCAATTTTGTTGATGACATGGATATACAGAAAAAAATGCATGTAATTCTATTATTTGAAGCAGTGAGGATATGAAAGTGGTATGTGGAGAAAGAGACTGAATAGCATATAAATATGTCCATATAGCATGAATAAACAAAAGTACTTTGTTTAAATAGGTATATTTCTGAAAAATAAATTTTGACTCTGAATTCAGTGAACTGATTTTTTCCTTTCTATTGGTCCCCAATTCTCTTTCCAGATCAGCTAAGCCTCACTAGATTAACTGTTATCTTGGGGTTCCTACCAGCTCTGAGATCCTGAAAGGCATGACCCACTCCCTTCAAATGCAATTTCTAACACGCACACACGTGCAAACTTTCGTGTGTGATTTCAGGGTTTAGAACCCTTCTGTAGCTCACTCATGGATCACCTCTAGAGAATAAGAGTCCTTGGACAATGATGTTTGGGCTTCTAGGAGTTTGTTTTCATTTTTGATTGATCTTCAGTTTAGAAGCTTCTAACACTTTAAATTCCCCCCTTTCTCCTTCCCTAACCATCCAAACCTCTCATTTGAGCAGCTAATTATAAAAATAAACATTTTCATGCTCCAAGGAAGCTTACTATTTAAAGGAACCCCAGACTGGATCCTTTTGCAAAGTGAACAATATTACGTGTTTTATAAATTTGGACAATCTTAACGCCAGCTCTTCTTAATGCAAGCATACATGGCATCTACTTGCTTGCTTCTATTTAATGAACTTAGAAGACAAATTAGATAGGTGGTAAGCATGATGTTCAAAGCTTTTAACTCCTTTTAACTTTCAGCTATGTGAGGCTACTAGTAAAGCAGGTAAAGACCTTTAGAATTTCCTTCTGCACAGACAAGCATCTATTTCTGGCAAGCTCTCTAGAATCTTTGTCACAAAAGCATATGATGTATCTTGGGGAGTATGTGGTCTAAAGTTTGTTAACAGATCTAAGTCTCTTTAAAAATGGCATTAAATTGTCTTACAGCAATGGCTTGAACTGTGGCCAGGTAGAGAATGGCAAGATCATCGAGGTCCTGAGATAGTTTCAATCCGGTGACCTGTAGGGATGAAGAAAAGAAAAGAAGGAGATGGCGCCATGGTTAGAGATAGTTCCCATGAAACACGCTCAGATGTGTTTTCTTGCCGAAACAAGTTCATATGCAAATCCCCTTTTTGTAAGCTGAACGTGAAGTGACTACTGAATTGTTTAATCTCCAGACCTGGGAAAAAGTATCCCTTCTTCCCCCAAAGAAAATGCCTTGCCTTGGATTAAAGAAAAATAAAACAAATACTATAAGGAGTTTTTTTCTTTTTAGGAGATTGTGTTTGATATTTCTTAGCATGGAATTAAATATGTTTCTTCTTTAAAAACATTATTCTTTTATTGCAAACACCTATTTTCTTTGGCTTATAGAGATGAACACGTAGCAGTGGCACTCTAGTAAAAGGTGATCTTATTCCTAGTTCTGCTACTGTCAGAATTCAGTGGACCAGCATCCAGGGGGTATTCAGAGTAAAATAACATGTCTACTATAAATGTGATACCTACTAGGGGATAATTTAGAATCTGTGGTTTACCAGGGAATCCCATTAGAGTCAATCGGAACCACATGCTTACATGGAGTATGTCAATTTCTGAGAGATTCCAGAACTGAACAGGATGTTGGATTTGGGTAGTTTCAAGACTTGTTCACAGTCTCACTTTCATGTCTCCCACTCATGAAGGTGTCCGCTTGGGACATTTCTAGAGGGTGAAGTCTGCTGGTTTCTTCAAGCCTAGTCTGAAGTTGGTGGGCATCAACGCCAGAGTTCACTTTAGATTTTCATTACAAAATTAATTCACGTAACATACTTTTTCTCAGGCCCTACAGTGTATATGGTCCTGAGTTCAATGAGGAGGTGACATGCAGTCTGTACTAAAATAGGAGAGCCTAGTAGTCTATCAAGGTCCCTGTCCTTCATTGCTCCAGCCCCATTTATTATTCTCTCCAGATTCCACCCCCAGTGGGGATTAAGGGGCCAGCCTTGGCCTGTTACAGGGCACAGATACCACTCCACTGCCCAAACCAGAAACCTGGGAACACTTTCCCCTGACTTTTCTCTCCCTTCCAGGATTTAATCAGTCTCCAAGTCCTATACATTTGAGCTCCAGAATCTTTTTTGAAGCCATCCCCTCTCTTTGTCCTCACTGCCACTTACCTCCTTAATCCAGGCCTCCATCGCATCCTTCCCGATTGCTAAAATAGCTCCTGATCAAACCTTCCTGTTTCTAATGGTGCTTGTTCCTCTCTACAAGGGAGCTAGTGCTTATTCTCAAATGCAAATTGATCATGTGAAAAATTCTCCCCCCGTTGCCCTCATTCTGAAGCAGAAGCACCTTCCCTGTCTTCTATGAGTGATTCTGCCCGGGGTCAGCCCTGCTTTCTTCGCCAGTGTCTATTCTTTCCTGTCCTCACTTAGCAACTTGTGTTCCAGCTGTTCTGATTACTCATCTAAGTTGGCGGAAGGGGGTATTCCTAAATTCAGTAGCGCTACCTGCTGATAGGTTTTTTTTTTTTTTGAAGATCATGGGGTCAGTCAGTGAGAATAACGGCTTTGATTTGAACACACAGGAGCATGAGAGGTTTGAATGAGAAATCAGAAAGGAGCTCTAAAGATGCATGTTCCCCAGCCAATAACTCTGTGAAGGAACATCTCTCAGAAAGGTCCCTAGAGACCTAAAGGAAAAATAAGAATGTTAGAACTAGGAGAACACGAGCAACACAGATATCACAGAAGTTCATTTCAGAGGAGAAAATAACTTGCTTAGAGAGTCCAGAGGTTCATGAAGCCTGAACCTAGGTGTCCCAACAGACTGTGTTACTCACCACAGTATCTCCCATGCTTGCCACTGCACCTGGCACATAGTGGCGCTAAGTTAATTTTTGCTGAATGTGTAAGGGACACTTCAATGCTCCTTTTTCCTTCTGCACACCATTCTCTCTCCTAACATCCTATCCTTCTCTGTCATATTATACAATTATGAGAGGACAGTATTTACTACCTCAGCCCCTCATATATTCACAGAGGTGGAGGGGTATATTTCCTCCATGCCCCAAGAGAGAAAAACACTGGACCATCACTTCTAGTTGCTTACTGCATGCTCTACCCCCTCCCCCAAACTCCACACTTACCCTTCCTCATCAGAGGAGTGGCTTGTACGAGATTGGAGTAAAAGTAGTCACCCTGTAACTTATATGGAGTCTTCGTGTGAATTAGAAAAAGGTGCTCCCTCCAGGTGGACTAAATGCAAAAGGCATCCCATCTGGAAGAGTGAATTTTAAAAAGGAGCAGAGTGGACAGGATGTCAGCCCTGCCCTATGCCCCCCTCAGCTGAACACCCTGTGTGAGCAACCAGCCCCAGGGCGTGCATTGGTCCTGGGTAAAGATCACTAGTCATAAATGGTCTCTCTTTGACTCATCTCCAAAACTGGCTTGGCCTCAACAGCATCTCTGTTGGTGGTCTGTTGGGAAAGTTGATTGGGCCACAGTTTAGAGCTCTCCTCCAGAGCCAGCCCAGAAGGTAGGCTGCCTCTAGCCTCCTATCGCTGGTCATCAATGAGATGTGAATCAAGCCGTGACCCTCCACGTGGTTGGGTGTGTGTCTGCTTGGCAGACACACGTCCATCCACAGGAGGGTCCCGAGTGCCAGAGGTGGATAAACTGTGATGGGGGTAGGGGAGGAATTTGACTTTTTATATAAGAGTCATTCTCCTATGGACTTGAGGATATGGGGAGGGGGAAGGGTAAGCTGTGACAAAGCGAGAGAGAGGCATGGACATATATACACTACCAAACGTAAGGTAGATAGCTAGTGGGAAGCAGCTGCATAGCACAGGGAGATCAGCTCGGTGTTTTGTGACCGCCTGGAGGGGTGGGATAGGGAGGGTGGGAGGGAGGGAGGCGCAAGAGGGAAGAGATATGGGAACATATGTATATGTGTAACCGATTCACTTTGCTATAAAGCAGAAACTAACACACCATTGTAAAGCAATTATATTCCAATAAAGATGTTAAAAAAAAAAAAAAAAGAGTCATTCTCCTATTAAGTTATTAGGAACCCCAGGGCTCTGTATTGACAATAACTGGCTCTGATATTCTTCTCAGTTAGTAAGAACCCATAAGAGAGGAGGGGTACAGGATCACTAGATTTTGCTTCCTTAATCCCAGTCATGAGAACTTCCCCAAAGTATTGATATTCAAGCAAAAAGATGGCAAGGGCCCTTCTCTAAATTTCTAGTGCCTTCAGAGCTTCAAAATCATAGGAAGGAAAGAGAAGATAGCTTCTTTTCTTCAGAAATTGAGAATGAGATCATCAGTGTAAATGAGCACTAAATTTAACTCCTGAGCTTGCTTACTAGTAGCTATGGCAAAAGAGGGACATATAATGGATGACGTAGCCTTTCTTTTATGACAAATGAAACATACCTATGCTTCAAGAGAGACAAACTTATTCCTGGGAAGAATTTCTAGAAGGAATTTATTACATGGACCACCATATGGAAGGTATTCAGTATCCAAAGGGAATAAATAAGCAAACATGGTTCTCCCATAGCTCTTTCCAACATTCCCTCACCACTAACACCAGGGCCATGGAGTTGAAATGTGACTCAGTGAAAGACACCTCTCTAAACTGTGAAATTACTATGGTCCAGGATCCCTATTTCCTTGACATCTTACCTGATTTGCAAATGGAGACACTAGAAGGGCAGATCATCATTTGATTCTCTCTCAAGTATCAGGAATCCCAGCCCCACCTTGACAAAAATCAAATGGCAGTCAGCCTAAGAAGGAACTTTCTAAGGAGTGCCTGCCATGTGGACCACTCAGGAGGCTACAGAGGACCCTCAGGGAGCTGTCATGGTATGCAGGTGGCAGTGCCCTGAGAATGTCAGGGATGTCCTGGGAGAGGTGCAGCTTTGTAACCAGCGAGAAAGCTGGGATAGGCCAGAGAAGCCTATACCCTTGGCTGAAGGCTGAATGGCTCTATCAGTAAGAAAAACTGGGAAGGAAGCATAAGTGGGAGGAATTTGCTTATAGATGTGCATGTGTCTCTTTCGAATGCTTGGGCGAGAGAGTGAAATGTGTGGGGAAGCCCCATGGAGAGTTGCAATGGTAAGCACATTTTATTTATTTTGGCTATTGTGAAAAGAGGACTGTAATAGAAAACACTCATAGTTAATATTTAGAGGTGTGTGAAAGCGGCATATGGTGGCCAAAGAGATGTGAACTGCAATGGACAATTTCAACCTCCTAGATAACGATTATAAAATGTTTATGTAAATACTATTGGGATTTCTGAGCTTAGAAGAGAAGTGTAGGTGAACAGAAAGATGATGTGCTCTGGAGTAAGACACATGGCTTTACATCTCAACATTCCCTCTAATTGCTTGCAGGACAGTGTGAGTTTTGTAACCACTCTGAGCCTCATTTTTTTTTTTTAATCTGTAAAATAGGAATAATAATACTTCAAGGTGCTTAATGATTAAATGAGTTATCGTTTGGGTTTCCCTGGTGGCGCAGTGGTTGAGAACCTGCCTGACAATGCAGGGGACACGGGTTCGAGCCCTGGTCTGGGAAGATCCCACATGCCGCGGAGCAACTAGACCCGTGAGCCACAACTACTGAGCCTGCGCATCTGGAGCCTGTGCTCCACAACGAGAGGCCGCGATAGTGAGAGGCCCGTGCACCACGATGAAGAGTGGCCCCCGCATGCCACAACTAGAGAAAGCCCTCGCACAGAAACGAAGACGCAACACAGCCAAAAATAATTAATTAATTTTAAAAAATGAGCTATCGTTTGCACGGCGTCTTACTTTTTCAGCAAGCTGTACCAAATCGACAAGAGCTAGACACTTGTAGTGCTTAATAAATGTTCATTCTCTTTCCTTTTCTCTTAATAAATGTTCACTCCCTTTCTCTTGAATTGCAATGAGGGGCTCAATCCCATTCATTAATTGGGATACAGCAATAAAGGATCTCCTGCAACATGCTGTGGGTACTGTCAGGGTATTAGCGATGGGGACTGAAGACCAGTGGTTGTACAGGGTGGGGAAC